ATTTCATTTAAAAGAAAACACTTCTATGTGTTTACGTTTCGATTTTATCTACTTGAGAATCTTACATTCTGAAACTGTAACTGAAAGATGAAAAAACATATTATTCATATGTAATTTTCAAATCAAAATTATTACCTCTTAAAAAATAAAAAGAGAAACATCATCGATTGTTTACAACTCACACCGATACTTTGTAAAAAATTGATCCTTGAATTAGTTTTCTATGGTGTGAATAGGAGAATAGGACATTTTAGGTCTCTACATTTACATCTGTACGTTAAACTGTCAAACTTGACATTTCTTTCACGGTGCGCAAGAAAAGAAGACAAAACATAAATGAAATAAGATAGAAAAAAAAGACTCGGACACAAATTTTGCATGATAGAAGTTCAAAAGAAATGAAGAAGCAGAAAATAGTTGTACACAGTAGCTATTCAGCCATCTAGGCAAGAACAATCCATCTTCCGTGGCTGTGCCTAAGTCCGAGAAACTGCTGGCATAACTCATGCCCTTCACTTGGCGGTACTTCGTAACTGTGCAGGGAAGTCCCCTTTAGAAGATAACTTTATACAGCTCATTTTCATTCTTCAATGATGTCAACGAACGAGCCTCAGCAACAGATGCCTGCGGGTTGTTTCACGGATGAACACAACGAGGAAAGAAGCTGAACTCTATGACGTCAGTGGACGTTGAATATTGCAGGAGTCGGGGACTGTGTCGCCACCTTGATCTGGGTTTAGTTGGTGTTAAGAAGTGGTCTGAATCTATCACCACAAGTTGATGGATGATCATGTATAACATGATGGTTTGGAGCCTTTGACGGCGTGTTTACAGTGTTTCACAATTTAGATGATGTAGCATATCTGAGACGCTGCTGGTGTTATCGTACCTGTTTTAGTGAAGCGTGCTGCTCTTCGCTGTACCATTTCTACTTTATGTAATAGGTTTTTGTGATAGGGTTCCAAACAGAAAAGCAGTATTCTAAGTTAGATCGAACAAGAGATATATAGGCGTTCTTCTTAGTTTCACAGCTTGTGTTTCTCAAATTATGTTTTAGGAAGCCTAACATGTTGTAAGCTTTTTGGTGATCTTGTCAATGTGTTGTTTCGAGCCAAGGTCTGGTTGTCAGTCAACACCTAAGTATTTTGATGTCTGCTCTTCAACCAGAGTTAAGCCTTTCAGGATATAGTTGGCCCGGAGGGAGATTTTGCCCTGGTTACTCACAGGACGCTGCATTTCTGAGGGTGAAAGTCCAGATGCTAGCAGTAATTCCTTATTTTCACTATTATCCAATTATTGTTTTGATCCGATTTAAAATCTCAAACAATTATTTCATAACAACTACTTACAATACATAAGTCCTAGAAATATAATGTATATGGAACCATTGTTTAATTGTTTTGCATTGCTGATTGTTGAAAAAACCACAAGACATGTCGAAGAATTTAAACAATGCTGACCAGTTTTTCTTTAGAATGAAAAAAGACTGTGAAAAATTCATTGTTAGAATAACTATTTCCTTTTAGGTTATTATGTACTGTGTAGCATTTAAGGATACATTTGATATAATTATCAAATTTTTTACTGTGTTTACAGAGGTTCCATAAGATTGAATTTGCTGTCATTCATTTTAAGTGGTTCGAAGAAGAATACTTAAGAGCAAATAACTAAAAAGTATTATCTAGTATAATATTACACTTTTTATTAGCCTACACTCGTCAATAAAGTAAAGAAAAATCGGGTTGATACTGATAATAGGCACACCATAAATAATTTATTGTACTGACGTCCAATACAAAATACGCTATGTAATTCAGCATTGGTTATATGCAAGACTTCTATATAGATATAAAAGCATATTTTATGTACATGCCTTTCTGGTTTAATCTACCTTACGCAACATCGACAATATAGCATATTTTTTAGAACATAGACCAAATTTATCAAAGAAGTAATTTGTTAAAATGGGTTTTCTATGGTAAATTTCTATATATCGTTAAAAGAGAGACAACTGTGCTAAGCCGTATGGCTCTTCTTTGTAAAACGGGTTTCGTTAAAACACTTGAACATTACAATGTTAATAATGATTGAAGTTATACTTATGCTGTTCCTACTATTTTGAACTTGTTTGTACTACGTGACTTGTATTTGTGAATAATCAACTACCCCGAAGATTGATTAAGGTTGACGTATTTCAAATCAAATAACATGTTGCATTGCCTTGTAGACTTCAACAAAACAGATATTAATTATGCCCTCTGGTCAATATTGACACTGCTCCAGGTTTACTGGTTACCTGATTAATATAGAATGGTAATGAAAACTAGAAATGTGTCCATAGGACACGAGTGTCCCAACACTCCACTGTTTTGTCAATCTTATGACTTTAGGTCAGATATGTTTTGGTTTGCATTTGTCACAAGATGTACACTAAAACTCTTTAACTTAGTTAAGAATTTTACAATATTGAATAAATCCACAAACAAAGCCCAATGTGCTTAGGTACACGTGCTGACCATTATTCTTGTAACATTTTCAGGCCTACAGGTCAAATATTTTTGAGCTATGCATAAACAAGTTGAAATTGCAAATTTATTCATAGTCAAGGACAATAAGTCTAACAAAACTTGAAAAAAAATCAACATGCAAAACCCCAGGTGTATAACTTGAAGTGGTGTTCATCATTATTCCTGTAACGTTGCTTGATTCCATCTCAAGTACTCAAGAAACTAAAAACACAACCTTATGGAATAGTTTTACTAAGTCAAGAGCATCAACTCTAGAAATACTGGATAAATCCACTAGTGAAACCCCAAGTGCACAACTACACTAATATTCCTGTTAGGTTTCATGACTCTGAGTAGAATACTTTTTGAGCTACATTCGACACACATTGTAAATTCACTAAGTCAAGGGCAATAACTTTGACGAAACAGAAAACAATCCATATCTGAAAACTGAGGTGCACAAGTGTATATCCTGATCAACATTCCTGTAAAGTATCATGACCCTAGGTCAAATACTTGTTGAGCTATTGCCTACACAAGTTGAAAATTGCAATAAGTCTACAAATACTTAGGGAAACCACACAAATATACACATGTGCACAACTACAAAATTTATGCTGATCAACATTTCCATAATGTTTCGTGACCTTATGTAAAATATTTCCTGAGCTACGTGCAAGTTGAAAATTGCAAATTTATACTTAAGTCAAGGGCAAAACTCTACAAATAATAAATAAATCCACACGAAAATACCAAGGTGCACAATTACACATGCTGAGTTACATTCAACATTCCTGTAAAATTTCATTATTCTAGGTCAAATATATTTTGAGCTACAAGCGACACAAAAAGAGAACGGACAAGGGTGGATGCCTACTAAATGCCTACTCTAAAGTGGGGGCACGGAAACAACATTGAAGCATTTTTGTATGAAACAAAACTTTTGTATATGTCATGTAACATTGCATAGTGGATCTTTTCAAAACTGAAACTGATATTGCCCATGTCCCTTGGGAAAATATTTAGTGTTACTTTGTTAATAGATTATTATTTAGGCAAACGCATTTCAGTTTTCTTCTGTAAAACTACGGTGCGCAGAACTTCAATTTGGTATGAAACATGATTGTCTTTATGATTTCCCCATAACTGATATTTAATACGCATCTTTGACCAATATTTGTCCTACCACAGAGCTCCCTTGGTTAATATAGTGAAATACATTCGGTTTTTATTAATATGTGAAACTAAAACGCCCAGAATTTAGATATTTGGCATGTAGCTTGGCCTTATGGATAACTTAAAGAAACTGATATAATTATTTTGGTTCAATTCTGTCCGTTCTTAGGGTCACTTAGTATTTGAATACACTTATATATAGGGAACACAATCATGCACATTCATAATGTCCAGAGCTAGCATACTTGGAACGTAGAATTGCCTTATTTAAACGATTCACAAAGTTGACATTCGTATGACGAAATGTGTCCATCCCTGGGGGTCATTTGAATTGTAAGACGTGAATAGTGTAGTAAAGGAAAATTTATTTAAATCTTATTGTGTGAAACGTTTATACCCAGAGCTAATTTGGCATGTAATATTGCTTAGTGAACTTTCAAAACAATATATATCTGACCTTTGGTAACGAAATAAGACCAAATAAATCAAGAAACTGTGTATATGACATATTTATCATGCTTCTCTGACTACTTTCAATTGACAATTACTTCATATTAAAAATAATTTTTATATAATTTGATATCTAAAAAAGTAAACAAAAGATAACATTTAAGCTATAAATCATTGACTATTGATAAAACGAAGTTTTGTTTTAGAAAATCATCATCCAAAGAAACATCCAATCATTAAAACATATATAAAATCTACTTCTTTGTTTTTTGATAATCTCTGAATTAAATTTTGACAAGAAGTAGGGATATGAAATATTCAAAGATATGATGTTCACAAATCATTTATCTCATTTGTACGCGAAGATACTTGTTAAATAAAAATATTAATACAATATAGGATATATGGAGCCCCTAATGTGACATTTTCAACACTTTTTTCGCGGGGTATAATTCGATTGTACGAAATATTAATTCGCTATTAAGAAATATTATTTCGTAATTACGAAATATTAATTCTTAATTACAAAATATGAATTCGTTTTACAAAATATTAATTCGCTTTTACGTAAAATTAATTCGTTTTTACCAAATATTAATTCGTATTATTATTATTATTATTATCATTATTATTATTATTATTATTATTGTTATTATTATTGATGTAAATTATTACAATTTCGTAATTACGAAATAACATTTCGTTTTTACAAATTAATATTTCGTAATAAAGAAAATATAATTCGTAATTACGAAATAATATTTCGTTAAAACGAACTAATATTTCGTAAAAACAAATTATTATTTCGTAATTACGAAATAATATTTCGTAATTACGAATTTATATGTTGTAAAAACGAATTAAAATTTCGTTATTACGAACTATTATTTCGAAATTACGAATATTATTTCGTAATAAAGACTTACGTTTCGGGGAGAAAAGTGAGGAAAAAGTCACATTAAGGATTAAGGATATAATGGTGATTATTATATGACTTTTGAGTAACATTATACCAAATAAGTGCAAGAAAGAATACAAGCCTCTATGTAATTATGACACAGCAAATTAAAATAACACAGCTATAATATCACACTGTTTCTTTTCATGAAATAAATGTTTGTAATAATCTCAGAGTGTCCGACAAATTACAATGTTTATGATTTAAATATTCCATAACGCGTTCCAAATTCTTGCACCAAACCACCTTTGCTTTCTCTTTTCTTCTTCTTTTCTGTAGCGCGAAGCCTCCTCACATGCATGCACCTTCTTGTTCCTTTTTATAACGTGCAGCTTCCTTTTCTGCAGCTTCTTGTGCTAGTTTGTAGCGTTCAACTTCTTTTTGTGCTGCTTCTTTTTCCAACCTCTCTTTCGCTAATGCGACATATTTGTCTTTATCTGCTGCTTGTTGCTCACGACGATCTTTATCTAACTTTTCAAAATGACCTGCATTTTTTTTCTTTTGTTTGTCTGACGCGTCCTTTTGCATTTTCTGCTGTTGCTTCAATAATTCGTTAAGTTTTTCTTGCTTTCGCTTTTGCTCGGCTGAAAAGATATATCTTGAGTAACGTACAGGTGTTAAAATATATTTATATTTTTATCATAGTGTATCTTAAGTGTACTCAAGGATCACGTGATATCCATGTTTGCAGTTGAAAATGAGGCGAAGTTTGTAGAAAACGGAAAAGGGAATCTAAGTGAGATAGTTTCATTTTATTACATTCTAATATCAGACAGTTATTGTTCAAGCTTTTTTTCCAAACATATTTTTAAAAGGCATTTATCACATACCATCTTTCTCCTTCTTTGACATGTTTTTATCAGCTTCAACAATTTTTGCTTCATGTTTGGTCATACTTTCTACAAATCCATACCAAGTAGATAGCATCTATGGAAAGAATGAATATTTATTTACCGTATGTATAATTTTACAGTTCTTTGAAAACTAGCAAAATACAGAAGCAAGTCTATGTTATCTGAGATTCAACTTTTAGATACGAACAATAAAACAACAGAGCTCTAACGTCACGAGATCGCTTTTATGAGATATATTGCTAGAGGATGCCATTATATTTCAACGCAAGAAAGTAACTCATTTATATTGCGGTAAGATGTTTTGAAATAACGTCCACAATTGACATTATTTTATACAATGTTTACATGACAATGCCGCAAGTTAAACAAAACATCATTTTTTCATGAAGGTTCAAGTGTAGTTGCATATAAAAGTCTAAATAAACTAAGTGCCCGTTATAAAAGTTTAACGTCACAGAATTATGTCATATATCTAAATTAAATGTTAAGGCACTTTATTTCTGTTAGAATTATTTAAATGTATGTCTTCCATAGAAAACAAGAATTTGAAACAGTTACCAACGCCCCCGCCTAGGGAAAATTTGACATGATTTTACATCAAAAGATTGATGTATTGACTTCAAGACTTTCAGTGCAAAATCAATGCTAGATCAATCTGCACATTCAAATAAGAATTAATTCATTATGGAAATATAATGAAATTATTCCTGTGTATGTTGCAACAAAATACATTTGTATATTTGTAATCACTATTTCAAAGCCACATAATGTCACAAATACAAAGTTCATACAGAATATGGTCTGTTACAGGGTATATTTTGTGAGTCCATAACTTTTAGGTATGTGGGCGATTCACCACTACATTCCAACAGACCATTTCTGGCTTTGACCTTCAAGTGTGACTATGACTTTTGAGGTACGGGTCTAGGTGTTGCCCATAACACGTCCTTTTAAGATTGTCAACAGTTGTGCCAAGTTATCTTAAAGCATCTGATAAACAAGCTATATGTCGGACACAAAATATTCCTTAGAACAGACCATGTTAAGACTTGGCCCCTAACTGAGGCCTTGAAATAAGGGATTCAGGCGTTGCGCATGACACATTGTAGCATTATTGTGAATATTTGTGCTAATTATTTTAAAACATTTTGAACAATCAAACGATTATGTGCCAAACACAAAATATACCATAAAACAGACTATGCTAAACTTTGACCTCCAACTGTGACCTTTACCTTGGAGGTATGGACTGATGCTTGTGCATGACACATTGCCCTATTATTGTTAACTGTTGTATCAAATATTTTAAAATCCCTTAATTTTTGCAGAACTTATAGACCAGACACAAAATAAATCATGTAACAGACAATGTTATGATTTTTACCTTCAACTGTAACCTTGACTTTCAAGGCAATCGACTTATTGTTGCGCTTGACACATTGCCAAATTATTGTTAACATTTAAGCAAAATAATTTCAAATTTCTATTATGGATAAGAAAGTTATTGATCGAACACGATATATACCTTCAAAGAGACAATGTTGACATTTGATAACTACATTTGACCTCGACCTTTAATGTACAGGTGTGGTTTTGCGCATGACACATTGTCTTACACTAATAAACATTTGTGCTGGGTTATTTAAGATTCCTTTGATAAATGGCATAGTTATGGACCAGACACAAAATGTGACAAACGGACTGATGGACGGACAGACAGGCGGAAGGACGTACGGCGCCTTTTTCTGAAGGCGGGGACAAAAATGGCACTGGAGCGGGGCCGTTGTCGACTATTTTGACATAATGCACATGAATTTAACAAGGCAAACTAGAAATTACTACACACAAATTATTTGATTATATGTTTTTTAACACTTAAACTTTTAAATAAAATATGTATCCAATTAAAGTTAATTTCAACGCGATGATAATCTCGAGGTTATGTTCATGACCCAAATAACTAAGTTCTGGTCATATTAGCTTCTGAAAAGAGGCTATTAAAATCATATTTTAATTTCAGTCCGCTGCTAAATGTATAACTTAGAAATGCATCATTAGAAACAAACTATTTTTCGAAAGGAACCCTGGAAAACTTACTTAAGTCTTTTTTGTGTTGAAAAAAAAAATGGATAACAATACACGACCGCAATCATACTATCAGAAAAGGGCACATCTGTGCCAAATGAGTCAAGATAAGCTGAATACGATTTTGATTATCTTCTGAAAACAGATATTGTGCTTTTGAATTAAAAATTTTTTTCTTAACTCCGCGCTTTATGATCATAAACTTGTTTCCAGATGCAGTAAACATTTTGATTATACCAATAAAATAAAACAAGATTAAAAATATATAGAAGGCCAATATCAAGAGTTTCGTAAACCTCGTTCTCCTTGAAGTCTTTGAGAGCACTGAAATATGCATCTTTTGTACTTTCTACATCATTCTTATATCTCTGATGACCACCTGCTGTTTCATACTCTCGATTTTCAATCTTCTTTTTAAGACATTTTTCAAACAAATTTTGCAAAGTATTTTCACATTTTTCTCGAACTTTTTGCTCATTGGTTGTTTTTATCTTGTCCCAAATTGCATCCATTTTCTTCTGTAAAGAAATGATAAATTGTTGTTTTATTTTGTTTGATTTGTTGATTTCAGTCGCACGACCCTGTAAAGGTTTGCAAGTGGTAAAAGACCTCACATGTCCCTTCATATATTATTTCAGACAGAAAAGGGAATCTGAGAAGAAACCATAAAGTAGTTAGATATCTTCCTCTAATGAAAGAATCCAATGTCCTTGATTGAATTCGAATCCCTGAAAGCCAAACAGTATTTAGTCGGCGATCTTAACCACTCATAAAAATGTCATACGTGTATTGATGCATTTTATTATATTTTTTCTGATATTTTTAGGGTGCAGAATTATTTCAAGAAGCATACATTTGCGGACGACAAGGATATCACCAGACATCAATGTACTGTTTGACATCAAAGTATAACTGTCATTTTTCAAGCTGTTTAACATGACAATTCGAGCAACAAAGGTGTCACAAAATGTATGCCTTGTTTATTCAAGAATTATCCATGATTGACGAGATTGATGACCATCAATGTTCTTTTGTGGTATTTTACCCTTAAAGCCATGGAGTGGCCTTTGTCTTTTTTAACAACAAAATTTTTCACACTCGGCACTAACTATTTGAAAAGCCCATGATATCCCAGAAATGCTCTTATCATTTTCATATTTCTGTTGCCCTCATTTAGTTTCCAAAATGAAACCGACTGGCCAGTGACGTGTGCTATTGTTGCCTTTAGCAGTTACTTACTCAATCTACGTAATTCATATTTTATTTCAGTATTCAAATACAAGTATATGTTCTTGTATGACAATTGAGTGCACGTTTAGCACTCCTTTTTTCGGGTGATAAACAGTTTACATACTCTAAATCCATTTTCTACACGTTACCAAACTATATATTTGCACTTTATAAAACATGAATAATTGTCCGTGTCTAAAGGATTATGTGACTATACAGTACCGCATATAAGATAAATGTCATTTAAAAATATGAAAATCTATGGAAACGATATGTACTAAATATGATTATCAAGGCACTACCAAATTATGACTTTTGACATTTAAGTTTAACTTTAAATTTAATATTTGGCTTCTGAAAATGTTAACACTATGATTGTCATCTAAACAAGCCCTTATTTTAAATTACATTTTTTACTTAATACCGTAAACTTGAACTTAGAACCGAAGCCATAAAAATTGCCAGTAACACATCGTGTAAGAATTTAACACATACACTATGCAAACGTTTTTTCGAAATGCCCAATTGAGTGACAGGATTATTGACTGGACATCAACATGAAAATACTTTAATGAAAAAAATACTTTCTAGTTGTTCAATGTAACATTTTTAAGCTACACACCTTATTCAAGCGCGTTTAAATTATCAGCTAAATATATATAAAACATGATTTCAAAATGCATTCATGAATGCCAAAGTCATGGACCCAACGAGACCCTCTATTTACAACCATATGAACACTTTGAATACACCTTTGTGACATTGGCTTTTAAGCTAGAGGTATGTGTCTCATATCCGACACGTCTTCATTAAGTCCAATAAGTATCTTAAAATCAAGGATTGATAACTATTCACCGACTACAAACATCAATAAACCTTTTAATATAAAAAAATTAAAGACGAAGTGTCTAATGATTTTGATCGTGAAATCGCCAATCGTCTCTATATTTCTCTTTAAAACCGTCAATAAATAACAAGGTCGAGTATTTGAAGCAAGGGAAAGAATGAAGCATGCTGCTAAAACATATACTCATCCTTATTTTTGGCAAATAAATAGAAATCCTAATGTGTTTGTCGGTAACATGAACAGAAGTTACAGCCGAGCAAATAGTAGCTTGATTACAATAATAAAATACAGGTGTGGTTACATAAATATCTACTTATACTATAATTGAAAGTTTGAATCTGGTTTGGAATCAATATGAACAATATTTGATACACACTGAGGTGTAGTTTATATGAACCATAAAATGAATTCTTTATATATAAATGAAAAAAAAACATATTTACGTTTTAACCTTGAAGAGATTGATTGTTATGTTTATCTTGTCCGGAAAAATACAATGCACTGGGCTTTAAATATTTTCTAAAAATGTCTGTTGAAATAGTTAAAAAACTTTTGGCATCAATGTATATAACATCTTCTCCTTGAATAGGCAGAGCATACTTATTACATTTTAGTTTATCATTCTTAATATTCAGACGAATGTTAGAAATGGGATAATATGTCTTTATTTCATTGAGTAGAAGCGAACGAAAAACTAGCTTAAAACTGAATAGACAATGTATAATGTAAGGGAACATCATGTTTTATAATGCTTGTAACCAAAATACTATGACGAACTAATAACTTGCATGCAAAATCAAACTACTAACAGAACCAAACCTTTTGATATATTCTTGGGCAAACTAAATGGACTTTGGATGGAAACTAATGCACCCATTTGCCTGACATAAACTAAATTGATAGTCGCTAACCTGTGCTTGAATTTGACATTTCGCTTGAAAGTCATGAATAACATTCTGTCGAAGATGATCTAGCGCTATCTTTTGAGCATGTCTGTAACGTTTCCCCAAATGAATTTCGGAGATTGGCAGCATTACGTTTACCATTTCATTTTCAAAGATATCCAGAGCTTCTTTTTCAACTTTTGCATTCTCTAATTTCGCTACAGCTGTAAATGCTTCATCAACATCTGGAACAGCGCCGTGTTTGATAGCATTTATGTAGTGTTTAGCTAGTGTTACGAACACTATGAATAGAATAAAAAAAACGTTCAAGGTAAGTAAGTAAGATGATGTGATGCAAAATAAAAAGTAACTCCGCTAAAAAGTTCTTATGAAATGGAAGAACAAAAAAGGACATCTTAAGAAAGTAAGTATACATAAACTAAATTTTATAGAAACAATACAGATTGTGAGGTATGCAACTCAGTTATATATTTGTCATGAGGAATTGTTGGCTGCATAATGCTTCTACATATTTAAGTTTTACAGGCTAATAACTGCATTATGTTTTGTATGCATGTCAAGATTGAATAACATACTTTCATAAATAATGGTTATTTTAAACTTACTTTGTCCGTTTATTGGTTTACTGGCTAGCAAGCTCTTTGGTGGTATTTTGTATATATAGGATGTAAACCGAGTTGTTACTTCCTTGAATCTATGAGATAATTGAGCAATGCTTAAAGTTTCAAGATTCTCAAGGACATCACCATCACCTGGAACTGGGAAAGTAAAGCACTCGCGTCTAGTAAAGTATTTTCTGATGCATGCTCTTGGTTCGTTGAACTTTTCTGCTTTGCTTTTGTTTTCTGCTAAACTTTGCTCAAGATAATCGTTTTCTGTTATCGTTTTTCCACCTTTTACCAATTTTAGACTGAAATCTCTCAAACACAGAACGAAGTCAGGTAGTATTAGATTAATCGACTGATTATCCTCAGATGACTGCCCCCGAAATCTTATATTACTTGCCATTTCTGTTACAAATCTTGCATTTTAGTTAAGTTGTTACATACATATATAAATTAATATAATATACAATATAATGTTAATAAAAAATATATATTTAGATATTTTGAACAGAAGATTGTTGCCATGTTTATATAAATTTCATTGTTATAGAACATAAGAAATCAGAATGATGTTAGTTCAATACATATTGTTATACCAGTAATTATTGTCAGGATAATCGTACAATACGTATTATATGTTTTTTTTTCTTTAAACAATTTAACCCTTTCCCTCATGAGCATATTGTGAAAAATGGCCGCTTTCACTGAAAAACCTCCTGTTACAAGTTCAAACTGCTATGAAACTATGAAAAATGCTTCAATACTAATCAAACTTGGCACAAATATTGACTGGACCATTGCCTTTGTAACAACATACTCAGTCTTAAATTTCCTGTTACCATGGCAACGAGGGGACATCTCAAAATTGCCAAAAATCACTAGTTTGCCACGATTTTTTTCCATCAAAATTTATTTCAAAGTGCTGCAACTTCTCAAGGGACTGAGATAGAGACAAAAGCTTTTCAGCGTTGGTTACACTTTCTCTTATGATCGACCTGGGGTCATTTTTAGCCTGTCACAAGTCCAAAATTTTCTTGGCGATGAGGGGGACTCCGCCCCCTTCAAACCCCCCAAACAGAATGGGGCACATCCCCCTTCTGGCAACCCCCTGATGTATCTTGTGGATGGGGGACGGCGCCGAAAAAATGCTCACTGTTTTTAGCAACATTTTTCAAACAAAAACAAGTGTTTGGGACCCCAATAGGTCATTTTTTCACTATTTTAGACCTAAAAAAGGGGGTCGAAAGTGCGTTTTTTCGCGTATATATGAGGTAAAGGGTTAATATTTTAACTACAACGCAACAGTAAATGTAGTGTAAATATCATGTGTCAACGTCCAGTTATTTTGTTACCTGTTGCTACTCGTATAAACTCTCTATACATGAAAATGTCAGTTAAGACAAATGTTTGATGATCATGCGAGTATTGTGATAAACTTAGATCTGTTTAAAGAAGGTACTCTCGGAGTCTGTAGAGTTTATATTTAGAGAAGAGAATATTGTTTTGAAAGGAATTTTGTTGCTTTACTGAAGTTAGTTTGAATTAAGTTGTGGTGATATTATGGTGATCTTGATGTATTAGGGTTCATTCGTTGTATTTATTTGTTTTTTTTTTTTTTTGTTTGTTTGTTTGTTGTTTTTTTTTTTCTGTTTTTTTTTTTTTGTGGTTGTTTTTGGGTGGGGAGGGGTTCATTGAAGTGAGTATTTAGTGACATTTATTGTCCAGATTCTTGTAGTTGATGCTTTGTTGTTGAAGATATCTGTAAATATTGGACAGGTTGTTTAGGTGGTTAAGTTGTTTTCTGATGCTGATAAGATTTTTTGATTTTTGGATAAATTTTGATAAATTTTAGTGGTTTAAACTGAATCTTAGGAGTTACAAACAAATTCATTTTGTGTTCTTTATTTTGTGCTGATTGTATTGTTTTGTGCGGTTTTAAGATCTTCAGATGTTAAGTATTGTATCTTATAAAAGACGTACATGTGGAAAGATATTTTGTATAAATGGTAAATGAATAGAGTGTTATTCGTTTTGGCTGTAAATAATGAGTTCCTTTTTGAGAGGTAAATTGCTGAATAAAACAAGGGTTGACTGTGAACAATTTATGGCTCGCTTAGATAGTTACTTAAGCAGTTGAAAAGAATTGGCCTACGATGTGATAACATTAAATATACAAAATATTCAAAGTTATTATTTGTCAAAGATTGTTCAACAAATCGTTATGATGGTGACTCTTTGACTGAACAAAAAGAGCACATCACTATCACAGAGAAAACAGAAGAGTAACATGTTCATATTTAATAAAAAGGGTTATGTGGCTAGTGATTGTCGAGATCAGACTAAGTCAACACATGGGACTGCTACAATGGCATATGAGGAGCGAAATTAAATAACAATAAAACAAATCGAAATTCTTCGAAAGGAACTAGCGTAGTAGACTTGTAGAAAATAGACGTGATGGATGATCAGATGATATGAAAATATCGGGGTTATTTAAGTCAATGTTTCCAACAAGCTTTAATGATTAATGCATCGAAGAGGAGAAACTTAAATGAGACGATGGTAATTTCTTATTGCAATTGAATCAGTAGAAGGTTAACATCAATTAGATCTGAAACTAGGATATGTTGGAACTCAGAAGGTGGAATTTTTCTAGGAGAGACCAGTTGCAAAATTGTGGTAGTTAGAAAGAAATTGGTCAAAGAAGATCAAATGCTGAAGAAACATTTGTTTCATGATAGCAATTAATGGTCGGCCAGGTTGGTATTCATGGCAAGAATACCTTTTCTTATAAGGTTGAAATAGATGCCATGGCTAAGGAGTCAGCAATTTATGATTTAGTTTTGGGAAATATTCTGAGAATTTGCCCGCGTTTCTCATTGCATACAGAAAAGTCAAAAAGTTAAATACAGGGTTCCAACAATTTGAGTGGTTATGTGGCAGGACTGTTAGGGGCCCCATACAAGCACTGAAAGAATAAATAACATAGACGTAGGAACCAGGGTGAAGCAGTTAACAGATTTGACTACAAAGTAAAAGAAGGTGATATCATTGGAATGTACCACATAAATCTTCTGATGAAATACGATGAGCGAAAAGATAATGTGTCTGCTAGTGTAGCTGTAATAGAAGCCGAAAAAATGATGATAATATGGTGATTGATGGTAAAACGTCTGGTCCAGTGTTGTGCACAACTAGGGACAGTACTGATCACTTCTGTAAAGATTGGTTAAAATTTTACAAGTACTTTGATCTGTGGAGTCCGGACAAGTTTTTTTTCTTCTATTTTTAGGTCTGAAGGCCATTTTGTGCAGTGAAGCGGAATGTGCCGGTGATGTGCTTTACTCTCTTTTTCCAGGTCATAATTCGGAAGCCATAAAAGGTATCAACAATAGAACATTGTAGGTAGATAGAGTTCATTGCTTAGAAGATCAGTGCAAAGAACAGTAACCCTACCTTGCCCAATTTTGAAATTATTGCACTTTGAAATTAAAAAAGGAACATAACTCTGAAACAATAAAAGGTGTACTTTCCTGTGTCCAAAACATATTCGGGGAACATCATCTGGTTCCAACCGGGCTCTTGTTAATACTTGACTATTGAAGTGACCTTGACCAGGGGGGGAAGTAACCCAATTATTGCGCTCTGCACATCTTCCACAATGGTGATTATTTGTGCTAAGCTATTTCAAAAATATATCAGTGCTTTGAACGCTATGGAGCGGACAGACGGGCCGACGGTCTGACAAACGGAGGACATTCCTAAACTCCTCTCCCCAGTATGCAAAAGGGGATTAACACGGGAATTAAATAATGATTGATGGTTTGGTTTTGTGGAACTGACTACTTAAATTTCTCACCTTGTATTGTATGTATTGTTTTACTTATTGATTTATTTATGTATGTATTGGTACTATTATATAAACTACTCATGAATTATTTTCATTGTAGAAAAGTGGAATTTGATTCTGGAAGCCAAAGCTTTTATACAGTTTAATAATTCATTGCCATCATTTAAAACAAACTAACGTAACAGCAATGTTACTCACACATACAAAGGATACTTGAGTTTAGAAACGGCGTCATTATCAAAAGCGCCCTTCATGTTGTAAACTAAGCAGTTGCAAAGGAGTGTCGCAAGGGTAAAAATCTTGTTGTCATGACTTGGGTCACCCTGTCAAATAAGATTATAAGAACATGATCTGTAACATGAGTTCATAAATGCAACAGGTAAGTTAACAGCTTGGAACTGATATCCATAATTTATTTTGTTTTCTTATCATTTTGTAAACACTTCATCGTAAAATGCTTTTGAATAACTATATCCCTACCTTTTCAACATCGCCAAGTCCTTCTGTATCAAGCAGAAGCAAAACAGTGTTCGACAATGTTGGATGTATTTTACACCATGCCCAAATGCCCTTGGTTTTTGATTCAATTGTATCTCCCAGCGCAAAACCTAAATCAATATCAGAACAAAGCTTTAGCCTCCATTTTAAGCATAATGATAAGGAAAAATGTACCATACAATTATATATAGAATATATTATCACAAGGTGCAGTTTTGATTTATTGTAGGATTTGTGAAATAACATCAGTTAGTTTGTAACTAATTTGATAAAGGTACAATTCCATTTACATATACTTTTAAATTACCTTTGCTCGAGCCCGCCAGACGATTCATTAGATACGACTTTCCAGTTCTGTACAAGCCTGCGACGGCTACAACAACTATTGGCCAATCTACCTTTGTTATTTGATCAAATGCTGTTTCTTCGCTTTTTAAAAGAATGTTAGTTTCTTCTCCTATTTCGTTTGTTTCACTCACGGCGCTAATCAAGCACACGGGATGTTGGAATATTTCCAAATCATTTGGAGACCACCTGTTTCAAATGTTATCATCATTTTTCTTTAAATATTTTAGGCAATCTACACTTTTTTGTTCTTGTATAATGAAATGTGAGTGAAAATGTTCATTGTTTTTACAATTCATGCTCCAGAGCATATAAAAACAAACTTTTACGGAAACCAATATATAGCAATTTCTTTACCAATCAAAATCCACACACATTAAAAACACAGCAACAAAACGCAAAGATATATGTTACCTAAACTGTTCGTACAGATATGAGTTACTTTCCATACAGAAAAGAAATCTAAACGGCATTTGCGAAGGAAATAACAGAAAAAAATTAAATGTGTCTTCAATCATTGCAATGCATCTATTTATATTAAACTTACAGGTTTTGACTGGCTGACACGTTTACAATTTTCTCTCGAATTTCGCTGTCGAATTCATTGCCGGGCCTGAAATATGTTCACGTAAATTTGACACATTCGATGTTATGTTGTATTGATGCAATTGTGTTGTTGTTCTTGATTTTTATTTGTTTATTTTATTTTTTTTAAAAGAGCACTTTTATGTTAAAAATCAAATTGACAATAATATTAATTTATTATTTACTGCGAATTCACTAATATTCGTGGGCATAAAATTTCGTTGTTTTATCAAACGGGCATTTTCGTGGGTTCTTAAATTCGTGGATTTTCAATTTCTTGTAAAAAAATAAAATAAAATAAATAACCTACTGCAATGTAATCTTACACTTAACCGCCGCGCATTTTTACTTAACGTATCACACAGCGCTGGTCAATATATTTAATCCTTGCATCTGGGCATTCATTACACAAAAATCAGTGGAAAAGCGCTGATGCATGTTTGTATTGTATAGAATGGAGACATGGCAAGAAGTAGTTGTTGGCATAAAATTTCGTCGGATCTTAAATTCGTGGATTGACATACCCACGAAAACCACGGAAGTTTGTGCCCCACTAATAATAATAATTTTACAATAATTCAAGATAATGATAATAATGATAATAATAATAATGATAAATGGTTTTAGGAATGGTTCTACCATGTTTATCATTTCTTCAAGGGCTTTTCCAACGCCATATGATGCTTTAAAGCTGCATGCTCTCAGATGAGTTATTACAAAAAAAAAAGATTTTAAAAAAACGTACTCAGATTTTTAAGGTATACTTTGCTCAAATATTTTAGTAAATACTGACCAATGCTACACAGTATATAAATATAAAATAAGCATGTTTTGAATTCACATAAAGTAGATATGTTGTTTTAATAACTCTTCACATTAGATATAATTATATATACAGTAGTGTCATTAGAAATGGCAGTTTTTTTTTAAGAAAAGACCAACTTAATTTGACTTGTAATAGGTAACGCAGCTTCCCATACATAGTTTTCTCATTCTTTTATTTACATTTGACATTCTTTGTAAGAAGGTTATAGATTTGAATTTTAAAAAGTCTAATTGAATATTTTTTCTAAAATAAGGACTGAGTATATCTTTTAAGAAGTTAAAAGATTCAAATATTAAAAAAATGCATGTAACATGCGACTAAAAATGATCACCAAATGCCTGCTGTATTACTTTTGACTTTTTTTTGTAATTTATTTGGTTTATAAGTGCCGTTGAAACAAGTAATTTATTTTCCATGTTCAGTTCACAATATTTGACTTTTAAAAAAAATGAAATTTATCTGCAGGCATGCTTCTTAAATATATATTTATATCATTTTCTACATAATCATGTTTTCTGTTTTATCATCCCAACAAAAAGGAAAGTGCACAATTAAAAAGTATCTGCTAAAAGTTGTTCTTTTTTAATAAAGATTTTTGCGAAATATAATTGGAGTTAAGAGAGGGAAATACAAATTAATATAAGAACTCAAAAAGTGATAAACAGTTACTTCTTTTAAAAGGAAATAAAGTTGTTTTTGTTTTTAAATGATTTTTTTTCTATATAATATAGTATTTATTTATTTATCTTTTTATTTATTTACTTAATTATTTATGTGTCATTGTTTTAATCTATATTGTGTTTGTTTATCATGTAACATTTTGCCTTTGTCGAGATAAATATATCTATTTAAATATATCTATCTTCTTTTGTAAAGCATAATGTTTTATTAAATCAACAATAAAGTTTTGCGCATGCATCGAAAGCCTTATAGAAATACGATATAGGGGATCAATAGTTTATAGACTGTTTCTTCCAAAAATAAATCTATTTATAAAATGGCTTACATGTTTTGACTGGCAGAGACGTTTACTATTTTCCCTCGTACTTCATACCCGAATTTATTGCCGGACCTGAAATGATAACACAAATGTAACGAAATGATATTGTTTTACATGTTTAAATTGAAGCGGATGTTAGAAATAAATAATGATTGGAACACATTCATGCAAGCAATGAAATTAACAAAAAAGATAAATTATAAAACTTATTCGTAAATAGGATATTGTTTTTGTTTGTTTTTATGACCTGGGGGATGGTCCGACATTCATTTTCTTTGGTTGACTTTATAAAATGCTGTGTTACAGCATACTTCAATATGAGTCAGAGGAAGAACAATATTGACAATAATGTAATAAGATTGTAATATAACATAAAACAATTCAAGTTTCAAACATAAACAAAAGCCTGAATCTAGAGGCATTAAATTTTTTTTTTCTTTTTCTATATCATGTTTTCTGTTTGATCGTTCCAACATAAAAGGTAAGGCATCTGTTTTAAGTCTTATATTTATATAGTATTCTGCCAAGTGTTGTATGTGTTTAAAGAGTGCAATGCAATTTATTAGAAGTTCAAAAAATATAAGCTTCTTGGGTGTTAAATTAAAAGTGAATACAGTCTTTTTCACGCATACATCAATAGCCTGTCGTAAAATATTATTGTATTTATAATAATTCATGATTATAAAATAATGTTAAGTGCGTTTGAAACAATCAGATACAGCTTGAAATGTTGAAGCAATCCAGTTTTCATTAAGTAAGACGGTACTAATAGGCAACAGAAACGAAGAAAAAAAATAAAGCTTCTTGACAGTTGGCACTGACAAATACGATTATGTAAGGTTTTAAAACGACTACAAATTTTTTATCAAAGAAATAAACACTTAAAAAGGCAAGTGTTGTTGCGTGAATAAATATTTTGCATACTGACTTTAACAATTGATCCACGCGTTGTTTGTTAAATAAAAGAGTTAATATCAAATAAACACACAACCAACATTGCAACAAAAGATTTATACATACAGGTACAACAACTAACCATTTTAAAATCTTATTATTAGTAAAAAAAAGATACAAAATATCTGAGTAAATGAATTTGAGAAAACACAAACAAAGCGACATTGAACCAAGACATCCTGGAATTAAACTGAACATTTAACATGTTATAATGTGTAAAGAAAACAGAATACATTATCGATTTTCAAAACCTCTAATTTAAAATATCATTAGTTTCCTTTATTGCACTATCATAGGAAAAATCAGAACAATTTACGAAACAACTAAGTACTTCTTATCCGTTGAGTCTATCGTTCGTGTTGATAGGCTTTGAGATGACTCACCATCCAGCGCTCTAGCTGAAGCTTAAACAATGTTTTAAAATGAGAATTTTCAATAGGATCGTTCATGTTTTTTTAAAACGATTTTCAAATGACTATTCTCTTTTGATATTAATTTAAAATGTGCTTACAGATTTTTGATGTAGTGATAAGCATACTTGACCGGCAATCCAGAGACCCGTGGTTCGAGCCCCGGCTGAGGCGTGCCGATTTTTCGTGCGATTTTTCTATGTATAAATTCCCGCTATGTTTTTCTTTCCTTTGTATATATACTAGTATATACATGTATATATATATTTATTATTTTTCTATTTGAAAAATTTCTCAAAATTGCCTGATAATGTTAAATGAATCAGAATTTAGATAAAATATTAATAACTTTAAAAAACGTTTATAATGACAAAAAAAATGAAAATGCATTAAAAAGCATAGTAACCATAATATAATGCAAGAAATAAATTAAAAATAAGAATACAATTTATGGTTTATGTTCTGAAAAGATTGGTCAATATTTGCGGAAGAATGGTACAACCTGATTGTGCTTCATGACTATCTCCTCTTTGAATATCTGTTTTCCTTCGTGGGGGCTATTTATTACAAACAGAAAATCAAATAGATAATACATGAACAAACTGTTTAAAGTAGCACAATGTAATTTTTGAAATTGTTAAGTTACAATATTTTATTAAATCAATTTGCATTTATTTCACAGAAAAAATGCTACTTCGGACAATCATTTAACAATTTTAGACAGCGGTTTTACTACTTTTAAATTTAAAATACATTAAGTTTCAGTACCTGTGTGGGTTTTGCTTTATTTGAAAAAATGCAATTTTTGACCTGTGGTCCATGTTCGTCTGTTTATCAGAGAATTCGGCTGATTCTTTGTCCATTCTTAACAATCTAAAACAGATTTATGATAAGCAGCATTTCTTTAATTTTATATATGTTTTATCAACTGCAGCTATTACTGCTGATAATGAAATTACTACAAAGTGTTTGTTTGTTTGATTGGGTTTTACGTCAAACCGACACAGTATAGGTCATATGGCGCCGTTTTACTGGTTGAGCAAGACCTCAGATGCCCTTCCGTGTATTATTTCAACCCGAACGAACAACTTCTACTACTGCTGCTGGCTGATGCTTCTACTACTACTACTTCTTCTACTGCTACTACTATTATTTCTTCTGCTGCTACTGCTGATACAACTGCTTCTTCTACTACTTCTTCTACCTTTTTTGTTTAATGTTCGCATGTTTTGAGAATGAACGGTATAACACCGCAGCTAGGCCTGCCTACCTTGATGAGCAAAGTTTGCATTTTAAGAATGTCTATTTTACAGCTACGCCTTTGTGATGAATTTAAGTTAAAGGGAATGCGTTACGACTAGAAACATCCATTATGTCCTTTTTACATATTTTTATCTGATAGGACGGGTTGTGAAACGTTTACGACAATGCCGTAAGGAAAGCTTTCCAATAACCTGGTGTAAGTATTTACCATTTGGATCAGGGTAGTAAAATGTAATAAACAAATCATCAAAGAAAGACAATAAATGCAACCCCACAGTACCCAGCAACAAGAACCAGAGGCAAGAAGCCAAGGAGGACCCTAAACAAACAAAAAACAAGACAGGAAGCAAGCCACGAGCAGATTTGTCATTAAAAAAGATACATAAGAAGAAATAATAGTTACCGACAAAGAAATTAAAAATCAGAGAAAAAATAATGAACGATTGATTTAAAGGCCCCTTTAATAAAATAAGACAGAGAGAGGGGATAAGAAATCATCTCAAAAGAATATACAAAATAAAGAAATCTCTTAAACGAGTTTCTATTTTTGTTCCCAGGAATACATAAATGGGAATAGGTAGGTAGAACAATTCAGATGTATTATGATAGAACAATACAACTTGTCTTACCAAATGCAAAAGAGTTATCGTTTAGAATGAGACAACGTGTTATACACATTATTTTATTACTGCATGGTTTCAAGATATGAAATCTCGGTTAACTTGGTTAAGTCCTTATCTGTCTACAAAGATAAAAAGTGTCTTTCAATTTGATGAAAGATGACAAAAATGCTTTGCAAGAACGCAAACACATTTTAAAATGGGTCCTGAAGTGATAAGCTAATGTATGCTTCTGAATGTTTTATGGACTAGTATTTTATTAAGCACTGGCAAAATAAATAGTGTTTATTATAAGTCTTATTAAAAATTAAAATACTCAAAAAAACTTGTTATCATTCTGATTTAAATCTGTGATTTACAATTACAAATGTCCCTGCCTACTTGAAATGAAATATCAAAAACGGTTTCTTGAAGCCCTACGAAAGATATATGTATTGTAGTATAATGCAGTCAAACATAAATAATAAATCAGAGACGAGAGAAAAATGACCAAACGGTCTATGACCGAGATTAATTTCACGGAAATTCAGCCTGGCTGATAATTGACGAGCATCAGTTTAAGAACATTCAATAATATAGATTTAAATGTTTTTAAATAAAGAATTACCTTTAAATGTTGCTATCCAAATTTACTTTGATTTTACGACTAAACCCGGACGAATTATATAATTATGTAATTCAAATCAAGGCACGTCCTTGTGGCAGAGAATTTTATGCACTAAAAAGACTGATTTTTATATTGACAATGTCAAGTGCATACTGAGTGATTTAAATAACGCACACTTTGGAATAAAATTAATTTAAAACTAAACTACCTAAGCAGTCTAGAAGCTGCATTGGGTATAGATATTAAACGTAGTAAAAATCTGGTAATACTTGACATGTTTAAGCATTTTGTGCATGGCTTATAAAAACAAAACAAATCCCCCTTTTCTAATGTTAACCATATCCACGGACAAGCTTTTGACAAGCATACATGTATAGGGATAAAAAAAATTAATGTTGCCGAGTTTTCGTTGAAGTTTTAAGAATATTAACTCTCAGAAGTTCCTGGCAAACTTAGAACAATAAATAAAGATAGATCGCAACGTCGTATGTCGAAACCATTGCTTTCAATTCACTAGTGTTTGTTTTACACAAAGTGTCCATGTGACATAAATGACGAAATTTATTCCTTTGACATGATAACCATACAGACACTGTAGTCATATTAAGACATTTTTCCTGTAAGTCTACGGTAAAAAAAACGTTTGAGGACCCACAGCCGCCAATTATAATAAATGGAATCCCCAAAGATCGCCCACAACGATAAATTGAAAATATTGCAGTTGAAAAGTTGTTTAATTTAATTGCAGGTTTTAAAGATTTTGCACTTTCAATTAATTACCCATTATTTGTCTTCAAAAACACCGAATATGAATAAGACGATATGGATGTTACTTGTTGTCAAGATTAATACTAACAAGCATTTCAAAATCTACAGTAACTGCGTTTTTAAATTTCCTCAGTGTACAATTCAGACCATGATATTATATGAATCTGAAACGTAACTTGATGAAACTTTAGACTTTATTGATCGTGAGAATATATTGTTTTTATAGCATGCACTTATAATCGGTCCTTTGTTTACAGATGAACATGGTTACCGACAATAGCATTTGGTTTTCAATTGAAAGACACCAGATGTATGACTTATTTGTCAGTCAATTAGGCGTTACATTTCTACTATGTCATTTATCATTAGTTCTGTCCTTACTGTATATGCCAATTTGTATTGTTAATTTACATTATTCTTTTAAATGATATTAGGAATGACAGTTTTTATCTATCAGTTGAGATCTTTGTCCCGTATTTCATCAGTACAATGAAGTATGTATAACCAACTATAGATTATCTACAATATAGCTAGTATCTAAAATAGATTATGTTATTTAGAATAGTATCTAGTTAAGCGGATCACATCCTTGATAGTATTTGTAAAATGAAATAATATCTCAAATAAGAACATACAGAATATCATTTTTACACTACTTTGTTAGTATTATAATAAGTAACGTATAATTCAACGTCTCAGGCAATCATTCAAAATATCAGTGATTTATAACAAACTTGGCAACTTTTTTGTCTACTCAGTTGGTAAGTATCCCAATTGTTTATTGACGGATATTGTATGCGTGTAAGTCAATCATTTTTGTAACTTGTATCAGATGTGTATATCGTTTTGCTCATTGATATATAATTTGCCATGTTTAAAAAAAAACGTGAGATTTTCATGCTTGAACACATATTATCATTCAACAAGCAACTAAGTTAAAACAAACGCTTACATCTCTGGAACGAAAATACATTAGTTCTATTTGTCCGCCAAAGCAGTGATATGGTATTTGATAGTAAAACTTATATTTAAAACAGATATAAGCCTACAAATATAATTAGTCTTAAAGTATCATTTTGAAAGTTTAATCTTGTTTAGCTTTTTAAGGCATAGCGTCCCAAAAGGCATCTAATTATAGACCCAACGTTTTCATACAATCAAGATGGGTTCGCGCACGCACTCGTTGGTTGAAGTCTGGGTGGTTCATAATGAACAAAGGAAATGGGGTCTCATGGCAACCAGAACATTTCCCGTATGTCTCTATGACACCAGAAACCCAGCAACAATATTAGAACTCAATCCAAAACGACTGGAAAATAATGCATTGTCTATGGTTATGGACTTTACTGGTCATTTTACTCTCGTTGCTGATTTAGAAATAATGTTTGACTATGGGTCAGATTAGTTATTACGTCACATTTTTATGACAAAATCATTTTAATCTCTTTTGTTCTATTGTTAAGAAATATAAACTAAAACATAATTTGAATTTGATGTTTGAATCTAATTCTTATGATAATCAGAATGAACGAATGAGCACACACGTTTTTGAACAATAGCATGTCTTTACAATTTCATCAAATATAATGTTTGGTTTGAATGTTCGTATGAACACAGAAAAGTTCTTATGGTGACTTTTAAGCTCACCTAGTGAAGGAAGAAATCATGACCATTTCAGACACGAATGGATACCAGAGTAGAACGAACCACCGATGTTCTGTTAGCTAACTGAATAGTGTCCTCACAGGAAAGAATCTGAGATGGGCATTGTACTAATAAAATATTTAACAGATTTGATAGTGATATGTACAAATGTTAATTGATGGTGTGGTTATTATGTACTTTACAAGATATGAATCAGACTTTTACATTGCATGCAACTTTTTTTGTAGAGCATTCCCTAATATAATAATAAATATGTAATAAAAAATTAATCAGTTATTAAAAATGATAAATATATACATACACTGATCATCGTTTCTTCACAAAAGCTTAAGTCATTTGATCAGATTACATATACATGTATAGTATTTAAAGAGATATTATTAAATCCTTTTATTTAAGAGATTACCGGATGTGACGTCATTTAGGGATCAATCCATAAAGACTACATCGAGTGTTAGCTAATTAAAATTTCAATACAAAAACAGATCATTTAGAAATGAATATATCTAGAAAGAATTGACTTATGCAATCGTAAATTTCATATCAAGACAAAATCAATGTTTAGACATATTCTAACTATCGGGGATGTTGTATTGTGGAAGCCCTCGACATAACAATTTCTAATTACCTACTTATGAAACAGACTTGAACGTGTAATATCACATTTTGTGTAGATCATTCCTTGTAACGTCTTGTACAAAATTTCACAATGTTTAAAGTGAAGGTGTATTAAATAGTATTTTATGAAGCACATTCTTTATTTTTTCTGATTTAGATTGTGTGATTTAACATTACAGATATCCATGTGTACTTGATTTATTATAAACGGTTATTGATCCAGTAAAATGCAGTCTAAACCGCCATCGATAAAAATGATGATACTTGTATTACTTGTACCCGAGTTCATCCTCTACCAGTACGGTAAGGTAGCAAATCGCCGTTAAAGATTCGGTGCGACGAAAATCCAACCAACAAAATCAACCCGTCTTGATGATATAGCTTTGCTATTGCAAGTACAACCGTGTTCATTTTTATCAATTGGGAATTTCTATTATAGTTTTACTACCTGCCAGTTTAATAGATTCAGTTGTTCACAAAAAGTACCGGGGACGTTATCAAGTCAAGCATCAAATATTTTTGGATCAACAACACTTCACTGACGTCCATAACGTTTTATTGTTAGCAATAAAATTTGACATAATCTTCAAGTCAATATTATTTGCAAAACCTTTCAGACGATTAACCATTAACGGGCAAATGATCCGTTGATGTCAAAATAATTTAATATGATTGCCGATATTTCTGCAAGTATATAACCAACTACTTATCCAACATAATTTCTTGATCAACGCTGGGAGACAAATGAACTTTTAACCCAATGTACGAGATCTATTGTAAAGGAGAAATAATGCCTCGCCCGAGGATTGAGCCCGTAATCAATTAGTTACAGTTTCTTTATACTCTCTCAAGTGAGCAAATGTTTCTGCTTTTTGAGTTTGATAGTTAAAGCATTCAGGCAATTGGCCTGCGATGTTTTACAAAAACAAAGAACTAAGAATGAATAGACAATTTTAGAATATAAAAATATTCAAAAATAATGTTTATAACTAAAACATTTACCTTCAAGTGTTAGTTATCCAAAGTTTAGATTTTTTGTCAAGTATACCCGGACAAAACACTCCAATTAGGAAACAGCAAATATTGCAGTCATAACCCTTTCTGATAAACAGGTTCCGTTTTTCTCTTTTTATACTGTCAGCAACATACACTGAGTAACTTTAAAAACGCATATTCCCAAAATGAATTTTACTAGCATATTCTCAAAATGAATTTTACTAGAAGCAAAAAAAGCAAAGTTTACCTGAGTTTTCCTGACGCTTACATTGGTACAGATATCAATCACACTGGTTACTGCTTAAACTAAGCAGGGTGTTAAAGATAGAATTTTATTACCCCTGTATTACTTAATATTACACAATTTGTATTGTACACTTCCTTTGAATAACTGGATTAGTCAGGCGGCAAGTGTCAAACAGATTGGTGCGCGAACATTTGTTCATTCAACCGGGACGTTAAAATATCATGATATAGTTAATCAGTTACGCTTATTAAAATGGTAATTTATGTAACTTTTAAATATACCGATCAGTGTTTATGGACTTTGATCAGAAAAAATTGTGTGACGTGCATTATTAAAAATAACAGTTATTACGAAGAAGCGGATAAAATATGTGTTATATCTTTTCCAAACAACCCATCTTAACTTATCAAGATTTTGAAAAAAAAAATATAAAAAATTATTATGTGACTTACATTTTTCTGTTTGCATCATAGGCAAATCGGATAAAGGATGTAATCAGGTATATTGAACACTAAAAATGCATTACCACCTGTTCTGATATTTTTACTGAATGATAATTAATCTCGATTTTATGTTATATAATTTCTTTTGTTTTTAAATGAACTGTTACAACAGCAAATAAGTTGATTTTTCATTTGCTAATTGATATATTTCCACATATTCTTTAAAAAAGTGATCTCAGTGTCAGGTCGGTAATCGTACATTCTTAAACAAGTATATTTTCCATGCCTTTTTATGGCATTCTCCGCCACAAAGCTATAAGACATCTTTTCTATATTTCTTGAAAGCTATTTT